CTAGGTCTACCTTGAGAATAGAATAGAATAATAACTTTATTGTCACTTTGAATGTACACTAATCGGCATACATTAAGATGAAATTTCATTGCATACAGCTCTCAAAGGTTGAGGTGATCAACCAATTCATGTGGATGTAAATCTTTATCTGGAACCAGAGTTATCCAAAAACATGCCTATATGAGTACAACTAAGGTTTAAACAGAAGTATGGAAAAAACTGTAGGAAAAAAAATATTCTACAGTTAAAGAAGAATATTTGTAGCTCAGGGTTGAAATGAGGGGTCCTTGGTGCTCTCTGAGCTTAGTTGTTTCCTTGCAGACATTTGATTAGGTAACAACATCAGTGCTAGTTTGTTATCATTACCTAGTATTGTAATGATGAAATGTCTGTATGAAAAGACAACAACCACGTGCAGGAGAATATCAGGGCCCCTGAAAAAATATTCAGCTGAAAATAAACTGGTCTGTGTTAGTGCCGAGTCACATTATCAATCAGCATAACTAAGCAGCTTGCAGACAAATTCTGCAAATTGTTACGATTAAAGTGAACAAACAGATGTGATGTTAGCACATTTGGGAGATTGGGAGACCAATCTTGTTGCTCAGAAAATAAAAACAAACTGGGGGGGGGATGCATAAACAAAACAAAATCAAAAACATTTCCAGAACTTTTCTTGTTCCTTCAGAGTAGTCCATATATTCTTAATGTGATGGCAAAAAACAGAAAAATTGTAGCCTTAAAAATCTTTGGCTTTTGAATTTCAGCCAGTTCTTTCATGAAAAGATTTATAATCATGAAATTTATTTAACTAACAGCTACTTGATCTGTTCAGTAAAACAAACCTCTTTAACATTACTTACAGCCTTTTGGATAGCTGGCCATCTCCTACAGGTAACATAACACTAAATTTCCTCCAGTGGCAGGATGCGAGACTAGATGACTTTTGAGATCTTTTCAATTCTAGGACTCTCTAAGGCAGATGTGTGTCTTTTTTCATTGCATGTATTTGGTATATTATGTAGAACTCAATAACACACATTTCTGTGAATTATTTACCATTAGCAAAAAAGAAGTGGATCCCCACCCTCCTGGCAGATTTTAATAGAAACCTAAAGATCTATTGGGATAGCAAGGGTTCTTTTTAATGTGAGGTCCTTGGTGCACTGATGAGATTACCTAGTTTGGTAATGAAATGTTTGCAAAAAACAAAACAAAAAACCCACAACCAAGCTCAGGGAGAACCAAGGACCCCACAGTTCAATCCTGAGCTAAAAATATTCTCTTCCGTTCTTTTTAATCTCTACAGTTTTTAAGACTTTATATGATCACTGGTGTGTGTGTGTGTGTGTGTGGTAACATTTATTACTTTTTTATTCTCTCTGGTTTAATTGATGTTATTTGTTGTACTTCATTGTTGCACTGTAAACTGGCATAGGGCCTGAGTACCTGAGAGATTGTTTGTTTTTAAGTATTTCTGCCTGCTAAATGCATTTTGGCAAAGTGGGTTCCCTCCCTGCCCCTTCTAATAAACAAGTCATCTTATGGGACCAAGGAAGTATGCCTTCTATGTTGCAATCCCTTTCCTCTGGAACAGCTTCCCTCCGGAGATATGGACAACACCCAAAGCACTGTCTGGCTAGAGGGCTCAGTGGCTAAGATGCTGAGCTTGTCGATCAGAAAGGTCGGCAGTCCGGCGGTTCGAATCCCTAGTATAGGTCTCCTGCATGAGGAGGGGGTTGGACTAGATGACCTCCAAGGTCCCTTCCAACTCTGTTACTGTTACACGTAAGAAGAAAAGCACTTTCGTTTCAGGCCAGAGGATGATGTGTTTGTGGGGCCCTTCATGTGTTTGTGGGGGCCCTGGTTTGATATGGTTTGATTGTTTTAGGCCCAGTGTCTATGGGGTTTAACTGTTTTATTGTTTTATATTTGTAAGTAGCCTAGTCTATAAGAATGGCTGTTATAAAGCTCACTATCACAACCCATCATCATCATCATCTGTCATTGGCAGGCATGTCAGGAATGTGAGGATATAAATTTTTAAATGAACAGTACTATATTTTATATATGTTAGATATGTATACATAACATCTGTTCATAGAAGAGATATCACTATATGTTATTACTTGTCAAACTGATCTTTTGGGGAGAGGGGGCATGTTAAAGCTGCTTTCATCACACCACTAAAGCAACCCTATTGGATGATTAGTCCATGACCCATGCTCCTTAAAACCAAAACATATACTTAGGAAAAACTTGAAATAAATATGGTGGAGATCATTAGGCTCATTAATAGAAGGCTTTGCTGGTTTATAGACTAAAAGATTACTTCATCTTACTTAGATTTAAGGGTCATTTTATCCTATTTTTTTGTATAAAATTTCATAATTTCATGAAAAATTTTATATTTAAATAAAATATCAATGCATTGTGTAAACACAAATCAGCTAAATATATCAACTACACTGTTTAAAATACTTGTTTCATGTCTATGGGATTAAAAAAATCTTACTGTATTCAGATCTTGATATATATAAGGAAGCAAAATAGAGCACCGTATATCTGTATGCATAATCACGATGTGAGTGATGACACTAATAAGGTTGCTCACATTAAGGTTATAAAGTGTTCTTTAATTTGAAGCATACCTTATTTTGTAGCCCTTTTCAAGTTGCAGAATCCATTTGGCAATCCTGCTTCTTGAAATAACTCGTTGAGCTAAGACTATTTCAATTGGTACAATCTTCTGGTTCCATTAAAGAACAAGTCAAGAGTATGTACAGATGTAAAGTACAATCTGATGGTTGCAATCAGACTGTAGAAACAGGACACATGATTCCACCACCATTTAAATTCAAATGTCCCTTTCTCCAGTTCAGGAAAATCTGATTGGCAACTCTTTTGGTAACCTGTTTAGAAAGCTTCCTCTTCAACATATAGGTTTCAATTTGGAGTTTGTATATAGGTATGGGAAGATTATTCAAAAAGTAAGATGATTATTTTATAATAATGTTTTACTTGGGGGGGACAGGATAAATAGCAATAATCACAGTTTCCAGTACTTCAGTGGCAGCAGGTGCAATTGTATAATAATGTAATAAGCCTTTCCTATCACTTCTTTTGAGTACTGTAAAACTTGGGGGAAGGGGGGAAATCTGGATGACTGCAACCATGGTGGAAAGTAGAAAAAAATCAGAACTGCAGATACAAAAGTACTTTAAGGATATGATTCTGCAAAATCAATGGCATAGATTATTTTCTAAAGAGAAAATATTCCAGGAATAATGGGCATTTGAAGCAAATGAAATCTGGCATATTTTCCTCTCTTACTTGGGACACAAAGATAATTAAGATAATACTATTACTGGCCCAGCATCTGTGGGTGGAAGTAATTAAGCTTTCATAGATCTACATTAGACAAATGGAAGAATACCATTATAGGTATATTCTTAACAGCATCAAAAAACAATCCAAGAAAATATATCCACTCACTTGTTTCTTATTCCATGGGATAAACCATCAAAAGCTGTCCGTATATAATACAAATATATGTTTGTTTGATGCATGATTGAATGTATTATAAAATCCATAATCTTTGAAAAAGTTGGTGATCTGTGGGCAAATTTAGGATTTGCCTTGACCCTTTTCCCAACTTGGCACCCCTCCTAAGGTATTGCAATTACAATGTCAGATATCTGTTGAGCAAAGACAGTGGCCATTCTATTTAGGTATTCTGGATTTTACAATTCTATCACACTTTGAATGAACCAGTTCAGATGGAGATGCTATATAACAGCTGTGGTTCAGAGCCAACAAATCTGAGGAAAAGCAGGGCAAATTTCAGTGCTGGCCTCTAAATTGCCAGATAATATTGGTTCCAACCTGATTAATCTCAAACTGAAATCTCAAACCTATTTTTTTTCAAACTTGTTTTAAACTTCCATAAAAAATATAAGACCTTTCACAAGGGAGTCTTGGAGATATGTTCTGGGCAAGATGAACAAAATGTAAATTGAGTTCTACTGGTTGATCCTTGGCAGATCTGCAGTTTATCAGTAGGAATCTTTTTCTTCTAAATTAAGATGCAGAAATTAACAAGGCTTGGGTTAACCATGAGGGGATTTTTGTGGAACTGAGAGTTCAGTCTGGTTACCAAAAATAAATTCTTAGGCTCAGAATGTGCTGAAAGACACCCTGTTCTTTAACTGGTGTGTGTGATGTCTTTGCGCCTGACTCTGGTGGGTGGGTCTTAGGGCTTTTGGTAAAAACAAAATAAAACAGATTAAAAAAGGCTGCTTTCCTTAGTTCTAAATGGCTTGTAAGCCACTTATCTGGCATTGAACATGAGGTTAGTACACACCTAACATTCATTACATTTCTTCCTATAGCCGGAACTGATAGAAAATGTCTTGAGAACAATGAAGATTTTTTTTCTGCCTCTATGTGATTTTCCCAAGTTAAATACCGTTTGACGGAAGGATTCTCAGAATGAAATTTGGAAGCTTCTGTATAAAACAACTTTCTGGAGAAGAACAGAATCCTTCCAATGAAAGGGACAACACATTTTTGCACGATACCAAGAGGCCATTTATTTGTTCCAAAGCAGTCACTATAGTCCAGAAAACTTGGCTGACTGATTAGTTTCAGCATTATTTTATCAGTTTCACTGGAGCTCAAGGAGGTTTTACCTGTAGACTCACACAGTGAATTCGATTTTTCTAGTAGCCTGAAGTAAGCCCAGTTAAATTTAACCTTAATTCCCAGGAAAGCCAAACCCATATATAAGTTGTGTTGGTATACAGACCCCTAGAAGTTACTTATCTGGTTTTTAAGAACCACCTGGTTGTTAAACCAAGCTTACCCCTTGCCAAATGAGATGGTAATGAGTTGGGATCTCCAATGTGGCAAACTGATGCTGGCAGAAGAAGACACAGAGAAGACCAGATGGGACAGAGGTCACACCACCGATGGGGGAAATATTAATCACTTCATCCTACCCTGAAGGCTCCCTGATTGAGTCTGCTGTGTACCTGCTCTGCTCCTCCAGGCTTCGGTTCTCAGCCGTTCGCCACTCCGGCATGGTGCTGGCACATAGCACCACCATGGAGACGATGACGAACAGGATGGAAACGGTGGCCAGGATCTGGGCGGCCACCGACGAGGTGGGCTCCTCGAAAGTTCTCCTCATCCTTTCCAGCCATTTCTTCTCGCCGGCGCCAGGTGGGGCCACCGGATCGCCGCTCTCCTGGCCCTTGGGCTGCTCGGGCTGGCCGCTGCTTTTGCTACTGCCGCTCCCGCCTCCGGAGGGCTCCGTCCGGATGTCTTCCGCCGAATAGAAGGTATAAGTATCGGACATGCGGTCGTCCAGCCGGCGCTGGCAGCAATAGTCCAGGTGGGATCCCTCCAGGCCCCAGTAGATCATCTCGTTGTAGAAGGAGAGTTCACACATGTGGGGCACGAAGCGCAGGTGGCCGTAGCGCACGTACAGCAGGATAAAGCCGAAGGCTTCGGAGTGCCGGTCGAAGAAATACTCGTTCCGCTCGCGGTCGTAGTCGTCGCACACCTCGAGCACGTCTTGCTCCGACAGGCAGCCGTGCAGGCGGCTCACCCGCCGGAGGGGAAAGTCCTTCAGCACCTCCCGGGAGAAAGAGTAGCGGGTGCCCCCCACGTTCAACACCACCACCGGCGGGCCACCCCGGCCAAAGGTCATGGCTTGGGGGGGGACAGAAGGGGGGCGCGAGGGGGGAAACGGTGGCTCCGGCTGCCTTCAGCCCCCAAGGACCGGGGCCGGGAAGGGCGGGGTCCGGCTGCCCCGCCTGGCTTCTCTTCGGGCAGGCGGGCGCTCTTTGGGTTCTCTCGGTCCCTTCACTCCCCCCCACTTACCTCTTCCCGCCCCCCGCCCCTCCCCCCTTCGCCGTCCACCAGGCGGGAACGGCGGCTCTGCTGTCCCGGCAAGGCGTCGAGCGCGCGGCGGTGCGCCTCCTCGAACAACCCAGTCTTGGCGACGCCTCTGGCTTCAGCGAGGGGTGGCGTCGGGCGCCTCGTTGCGCCCGGAGCAGGCGGCTCCCGAAGTGCCCGGGGCAGCTTGTACAGAAGCGCAGCCGAAGCCGGCGCCGCCGCCTCCTCTGAGCAAAACCCGGCTGGCCGTGGAGCGCATGGCTGAAGGAGCTGAGGGAAAACTCCTGCGAAGTTGGGTCGGTTCTGGGCTCCTCAGCTGCGCGCAACCTTGCTTAGCGCCGCGCGGCACCGGCTCTGACAGCGACGCTCTCAGGCTGAGATGCCCAGCGGCTTTCGGAGCGGAGACGGAGGCGGTGGGGAAGAGACACGCCTCTTCCCTCGCTCCCTCTCTCCCTCCCTCCCGCCTTTCCTCCCTTCCCAAGCAGCGGAGTTGCCTCTCTCCGGCTATGCTGGGAGGAGAGTAGAAGCGCCTGAGAGAATTCCCTGCGCTTTTCGCTCTTGATCAATCAAGCGCCTTGCTGGCGGTCGCGTTTTCTTTCGACCAGCGGATTTTCCAGTCTTGCTCGGCGGAGTTTTCCTTCCTTTATTCCCTCCTCAACATTCTCTGGTCTCTCAGTTGAGAATCTTTCATTCGCATTGATTAAAAAGTTCTGATTTCTTTCCCAGACCAGCAATTTTACGAAAAAATTGACAGGACTGACTGAATGGGGAGAAAAAAAAAGTTTTAATTGGTATACCTCCGTGATTTTTTTTTCCTTATTATTTTGTTTCGCGGGCTCTAGCACATTTATATCAGTTTAAATGTGCCACCATTTAAAAATAAAGGGCCACCATCAGTGAGCTGTTGGACAGTATTACTTGGTCTATTGTGTGGATGTTTGGGTGATTTAGGGGTGGAGAACTGTGGTGGGTGGGAGGGTGTTTGGGGATTGTTATATGTGTTGGACCTGGTCTTTGGGTGTTAAGTGAATTTCGTTGTATGGGTATACTGTGTATACACGTACAATGACAATAAAGTTATTTATTTTTTTATTAACTGATTATAAAGCACTTTTGAGGGACGCGGTGGCTCAGTGGCTAAGACGCTGAGCCTGTAAACCGAAAGGTCGGCAGTTCAGCGGTTCGAATCCCTAGTGGCGAGTAATGGGGTGAGCTCCCCTTACTTGTCCCAGCTTCTGCCAACCTAGCAGTTCAAAAGCTCGAAAAAAATGCAAGTAGAAAAACAGGGACCACCTTTGGTGGGAAGGTAACACCACATACATGCGAGGGGAACCTTTATCTTTAAGAAAAATTTTATCCTTCTGGACTTGGAATACAGTAAGTATACTTTCTGGATGTTTGAAACAAGCTTCTCTAACCCGATGCAATGCATATATATATAGCCTTTTCGAACCGACCTTGGTGGCTAGGAATAATAGGAGCTGTAGTCTATCTGGAGAGCAACTGCCGGGAGGAAACTGACTTGCAGTAGCTGTTGATTCTTTTAGAATTGGTGCCCTGGTTATGTTTAGAGCTTCTGGAGGGAAAAAAAAATGGGAGGAAGGGAATAATGAAATGCTTATTTTCTTGTAGTGCAGACTTGGACAAAAAACCCTTAACAAATGTAGGCATTACGTTCATCTAACACATGCTTTACAAACTAGTGAAGCAGAAATATTTGATCACTACCTTTCCTCTTGTTTATTTAAAGTTTCTTGGAATCAGATGGCATATGTACCATGTGTGCTTCTATATAACCACTACTGATACACATCCTTTGAAGCTTCTTATTCCTCCCCTCCCCACATACATTTTAACATGCACTTGATGACATCATGAAGCGAAGCCTATACAGTCCCCCTAAAAGTTATAGTAACTTAGCTGTCCCTTTAAGTACTTTCTACTCTTGAAATGCTTTTTTCTGTACTTGGTCCTTAGCTTTTCTTGATTTCTAATCTTGCTACTTTTCATCATTTTGCCCTTTAATAGAAAGGAAACTATATGTGTATTTCCCTTCAACTAATTGAAACCATACCCAATATTTACTATAACTCATTTCATACAGTCTTTGTGGGAATAAAAAGAGGAGGGGTTATGTTTAGAGATCGAACACAATAGTTTATATGGAAAAGGGCCAACTTTCAGTTTCTCCAAGAAAAGTTGAAAATGTTCCCAATTATGAAACCTTGGAGAGCTGCCGGTCAGGGTTACAAGAACTGAATTAAGAAACCCCATACTCTGACTGAGCATGAGGCAGCTCCTTATAGTCAGTGACTTTATATCAGCTTTGAATTTAAGATATGGTATGATATCTGTCATTGATAATTGGCATGTAAATGGCTCATCCGTGCAATCAAATGTTTTTTTTCCCACTTGAGGCATGTGACAAGGATCATTTTTATTCACAACAAGTCAGAGCAGAATCCTCATATCTTTGCACTTTAGCATAAAATCCATTAGCCATTTCCATTTATAATTGGACTGATGCCCATTTTCTCTTCTGAACTATACAGTTCTGTTTAGCTGGTATGTCTATAACTGGCACAAATATATTGGGAACAGATTTAAATACTAAAATCTTCTTTCTATGTATAATTAATCCAAATACACTCAAAATATTGTAAATATGCAAGAAACCTTTGAGTCTATTTGTATTGGTTGTGTTTATATTGTGATCCAACATTTGAGAAAGTGCTTAGATACAAATACAGAGAAGAGTAGAAAGAAAAATGAAATATATTACATTTTCTTTTATTTTTAAGTATGATTTCAGGAATGATAGATGCATGCTAATGGAATTAAATGAGGTCAGGTTTAAAGAGCTTTCTATCAAATGACTAAAAACAATGACCAAGGTATTAGAGTATAATTTATTTGAGTTGTGATGAAGACAGTATATAATATTTTGCAAATTACTAATAATTACTGTTTTGTGTATGCATCCCAGGTTGGTCAGAGATTTGCTGGGTTTTTAAACTGCCTTTAATGCCTATCAAAGGATGCTGTTTATCAGATCATTTCACAGCATTGTGTTTTAGTCAAAAGTTATTCTCCAAGGCTGATCTGATGATGCTAAGGGCTGAAGACAGTTGGGTCCTCCTCCTGCCCTATTAGGAAGCTTGCCATACTATTAATCTATTACTGATCCCTAAAGAGGGAGGCTCTCCTAGCAGTTTGAAAGCATGTAAATGCAAGTAGATAAATAAGTGCCTCTTCGGTGGGAAGATTATTGTGTTCCCTGCACTTTCAGCTCAGCTAGGAAACAGAGATGAGCACAGCCTCCTAGAACTGAGCAAGGCTCTCTCTCTTTTCTTAGTCTGCTGAGGCAAAATATTTTAACTGAATCCCTTCAAAATACACCGTATCCAGTCCCTGCTCTCAAAATAGCCCATGCAGCAGGCAGGGTCAGACAGAGTACACAGTGTCAGATCAAACCATATGCCTCTGGAAGAAATGTTTTGAGTAGTCAAAATTTCATGCTTTATTGTATCATGTCCACTAGAGGTCATAGCTAAAGTCATTTCATCTATTCCTTTAAGCGTACATTGATTTTCTGAGAAGATGTGAAAGACCTGCCCCCAAGGTTCTCAATTTTATTCCATCAAATCTCCACATTCCTTTTCCAGAAAACCTCAGTTTGCTCAATGAATTTGGGTCTAAAGAATGTTTTTTAAAAAATAAAATGGCTTTTCAAATAATGTTTGACAGATCAGTGAATTGTGAGCTGATATTTTACCTTGTATCTAGTTTTTTTTTTTATTGCTAACATAAAACTGAACTCAACTGTTATGCCCTTATATTCTACCTGTTTTTAGGGAGCAAAATGTCAATTATCAACAATATTTGATAATTTTCCTCCCAGTTTTTTGGGGGGGTGTTTATTAATGTATTCTCCAATACTTTTTGGGAAATAGATCTTCAGTAAAGACTTTCCCATGTTTTTCTAGCCTAATATTCATTTCACCTTTTTGAAAAAATTCTGTATTTTTAAAAAAATTCTGTATATAAACAGGAATACTGTTTGTCTACACACTAGCACTTTATTTTATTCACACGCCTACTGCTTCTTTTGGGGATCTTATCCTTAGAGGGCAGCAGTTGTTCTAGCATGTCTCTCAGCCTGAATTCTTTCTTATGCATTCCTTGTCCAGAAGTTTCTTCATTTTATCAGTTGCTGCTAAGATGCATAGTGTTTGTAATCCTTGTTTAGGCATTCTGATACTTTTTCTTGTTCTAATTATGTCATTTATAGTGCATTCATTACTTTGATGAGCTCTGTAGGAGTGTTCAATATTTGATTCGTAAGTTGCATCAGATCTGTTATTTTGCCAGCTCTTTTCATTAGCAACCTAATTACTCATCTTTTTTTGTTGTTAAGGTAATAGTCTGTCTTCTTTTTTATACTTAGTGATTTAAATGTGCATTATTATCTTGCTCTGCCAGAACTTCGAGGGATGATGACCCATCAGTCATGGTAACAAAGATCTGTATGTAAGGAGGAGAACTAGTATGAATACATTGCTGTTCAATCCAGACCACAGGTTTTGGTGTTCATTTTCACATGTTCATACTCAAATTCTGGGTATCATTTCATCAAAGCAGTTTTAATTCAGGGAAATGCCCTAGGTGGGTATGAAGTAGAGCCAGCAGCAGGCAAAGTCTTTTTGCAATTATTATTGCATAAAGATCTTGCAATTTTCTTTCTGTGGCTATAAAAACGAAATCCTGGTAAGAAAATGGGCTATTGAAGCAGCATCAAAGGAAAAGTGGAGTCTATCTAACAAACATCAGTATAAAATAAAAAAGAAGGTAAAACCTGGGAAATCTTACCTTGGAGGCTAGCATACCTCCCAGCATACTTCTCTCGGCTGATTGCCTATTTCTAAA